TTTTAAGGGTCCTCATTACGCTGTTTTCTGATCTGTGTTTCCTCATCACAAACACTCTGTTCCACCTTGTGATGTCATGTGGTAATACAGCAAGTGCTCCATTGTGTTTTTAAACTGCATAGACTTTCGCTAGAATCACACAGGCTTAGAAAAAAAGGGGAAAAAAACATAAAAATAAAAAAATGTTTAAAGTTAAGGTAGTAGTACTGATAATAATAGTAGTAGTAGTAGTAGTAGTAGTAGTACAAGAATTACTGAAATACACGGCTGTTATTATTTAATATTAGTAGTAGTAGTATTAGTAGTGTAGTAGTAGTAGTAGTGAATGCAGGAAGTATGTAAATTATGTTTGAATTTTAATAGAAATATGTAAATTTATTTAGTTCCAAGAATTACTGATATACACAGCTGTTATTCTTTAGTATTAGTCTTAGTATTAATAGTAGAAGTAGTAGTAGTGAATGCAGGAAGTATGTGAATTGTTTTTGTATGTGAATTTTAGTAGAAATGGGAAATTAATGTGTTACAAAAAAAATCCATGTATCATTTGTTCATTCGTTTTTCAAAATAAAACCAAAAACAAGAAAACAAAAATAAAAAAACAACTGTTTTCTTCATATTTGTCTCCAAAACCAAAATAAAAAAAATGTAAAAAACGGATAACGATTTGCTTTTTTATTTTTTTATTTTGTGTTTAAATTAATAAGGGAAAAAACAAATAATGATGCCCCCCTACACTGTCGGGTGTTCAGGAAACCAGGACTGAGACTGGGACCAGACCAGGACTGAGACTGGCACTCAGACCGTGACCAGACTGGGACTGAGACCAGGACTGAGACCTGGTTTAGTCCTGTTTTAATTTTGGTTTAGAGCTGGTTTACCTGTTCACTCCTGTTTTAGTCCTGGTTCAGTCCTGGTTCAGTCCTGGATCAGTTCAGCATCGTAGTTTAAGTCACGGAAACAGGAAACGGCCATTATCCATTTTTTCCATTATTCATTTAAACACAAAATCAAAAAATGTAAACAAATTGTTATCCGTCCGTTTTTTCATTTGGGTTTTGGAGACAAATAATGAAGAAAACAGTTATTTTTTCGTTTGCTTATTTTTGGTTTTATTTTGAAAAATGAACTGAACAAAATGAATGAATGATACATGGATTTTACAAGAATGACTGATGTACACCGCTGTTCTTTTAGTAGTAGTAGTAGCAGTAGCAGTAGTAGTAGCAGTAGTAGTAGTAGTAGTAGTGCATACAGGGCTGTGTTAGCTGTATAGTTTTTGCTTTAGTAGAATCCATACAAAACAATGGGTGTGAGAATGTTTGTGTGGAAGAGCGTCAGAGGTTTAGGAAAGTGAAAAAAAAAGTGGTTTAAAGGTAAGGCTGTGTTTTGACAGAGCTGTAGAGCTGTCAGCTACTGCACTTTAAAGGACAGGAAACGGAGGTGGAAGAGAGAGATGCGGAGAGGTGGAGGGATTATTTTGGTAGAAAAAGCAGTAGGACTAGGAGTGGGGGGAGTAGTAGTGGTAGTGTAGTAGTAGTGGTAGTATGGGTAGTAGGTACTTGGAATAGTTTGTAGTAATAATTGCCGTTGTAGTAGTAATAGAAGTACTAGTAATATAAATAGTAGTAGGAGTAGAAGGGGTAGTAATAGTAGTAGAGATAGCAGTGGCAGTAGTAGTGTAGGGAGTATATGAATTTCTGTTTTTATTGGAAACAGATATAAATAAGATGGAGTTACAAAAATTGCAGCAGTAACAGTAGTAATAATAGTAGTAGTAGTAATCGTATTAGTAGCAATAGTAATAGGAATCGCAATAGCAATAGTAGTAGCAGTGAATGAAGGAAGATGTTTGAATTTTAATGAAATTATGGAAATTAATAGTCAGCAACTGTAGTAGAAGTCATCGTAGTAATGAAGTGAAACAGAGGTGAGAGAGTAATAGTTGGACTAGTTGGACTATTAGTAGTAGTAGTGAATGGAGGAAGGCTTTGTTTGAATTTTATTTAAACAAACAAATAAAACAACAACATGAAATCTAGTTATTTTTACAACTTGTACTAATAGCAGTAGCAGCTTTACTATACTACTAGTAGTTGTAGAGTATAGTATATATAGTATATATTTTGCCACATAATTTCTTATTTTCTAGGCATACTAGTAATGTAATTAGTTGTAGCTGTAGTAGTAGCAGTAGTAGTAGTAGTAGTAGTAGTCATAGTAGCAGCAGTAATAGTAGTAATTATTATGGAACGTTTGCCATGTCATTTCCTATTTTCTAAGCATACTAGTAATGTAACTAGTAGCAGTAATGGTAGTAGTAGCAGTTGCAACAGTAGTAGTAATAGCAACAGTAGTAGTAGTAGTAGTAGTAGTAGTAATTGTCATAGAACGTTTTCCATGTCATTTCCTTTTTTCTAAGCATAAAAGTAACTTGTAGCAGTACTAGTAGCAGCAGTAGTAGTAGTAGAGAGTAGTAATTGTCATCAAAGCTTGGCCACGTCCTTTCCTTTTTTGTACGAATACAAGTAATGTAATTGGCAGTAGTAGTAGCAGTGCTAGTAACAGTAGTAGTAGCAGAGAGTAGTCATTGTGATAGAACCTTTGTCATTTCTTATTTTCTAAGCATACTAGAAATGTAACTACTTGTAGCAGTAGTAGAAGTACTAGTAGTAGTAGTAGTAGCAGCAGCAGTAGTAAAGAGTAGTAATTGTGATCGAAGCTCTGCCACGTCATTTCCTATTTTCACGCACACTAATAATGCCCGATGGTGGCTGCTATTATAACAGAGTACATTCTAATTTCCATTCACATTTCCCATCACTTAGTCTTCACTCTGAGGCTCGGAAACTGATTGAATAAAATAAATTGTTGCATTTAGAGCGCAGTGAAAAGAGGGGGGCGGGACTAATGACATATGCAGATGCGAACATGGAAGTACAAATATTATTATCGGTAATACGGCAGTAGTGATAGAAATGGTTTATGAAAAGGCCCCATCGCATTACAGTAAGTCCATCAGAACAGGAAGTCGAGGTAATTGCCATGTATGCCAATCTATAAAATAATGAATATGAATTTAGAAATACTATTTTAAACAATTTCAAATTATATTATATTTGGTCTTTGACAAAACCTGTTCAGTGAATTTCACTTTTGGCTATAATAGTAGTAGCAGTATTAGTAGTAGTAGCAGCAGCAGGAGTAAGAGGAGTAGGAGTAGTATTAGGAGTAGTGGCAACAGGAGTAGGAGTAGTAGGAGTAGTAGGAGTAGTAGGAGTAGTAGTATTAGGAGTAGTAGTTGTAGTAGTTGTAGTTGTAGTAGTTCTAGTAGTAGTTGTAGTAGTAATTGAAGTAGTAGTTGAAGTAGTAGAAATAATAATAGTAGTAGTAGTGATGGCAGTAGCAGCAGCAGTAGTTAAAACTAGAAGTAGTGGTAATAGTAGTAGTCCTAGTTGTAATATAAATACTCCAAATGTTTTTTTATTTGTAAAATTAAAAGGAGTAGGGTAGTGGTGGTGGTGGTAGAAGTTTAGTGATAGTAGTTGTTGTTTTTATTGTTGTCGTAGTAATAGCAGTAGAAATAAACACAGTAGTAATGATGGCAGCAGTAGTAGTAGTTGTAAAAACAGTAATAGAAGAAAAAGTAGTCATAGTAGTAGTATAAGTACTCCAAATGTTTATTTATATGTATATTCTTGTGATATTATATTTTTGTGAAATTAAAATTAAACTGAGTAGGTTTGTAGTAGTGGTAGTGGTGGTAGTAGTGGGAGTAGTTGTTGTTGTTGTAGTAATAGCAGTAGAAATAAACAGAGTAGTAATGATGGCAGCAGTAGTAGTAGTAGTAGTAGTTGTTGTTGTTGTAGTAGTAGTAAAAAGAGTAGTTGTAGTTGTTGTTGTAGTAGTAGTAGTAGTAGTAGTAGTAGTAGTAGTAGTAGTAGTAGTAGTAGTAGTAGTAGTAGTAGTAGTAGTAGTAGTAGTAGTAGTAGTAGTAGTAGTAAAAAGTAGGAGTAGTAGTAGTAGTAGTAGTAAAAAGAGGAGTAGTAGTAGTAGTAGTAGTAAAAAGAGGAGTAGGAGTAGTAGTAGTAGTAGTAGTAGTAAAAGAGGAGTAGTAGTAGTAGTAGTAGTAAAAAGAGGAGTAGTAGTAGTAGTAGTAGAAGAGGAGTAGTAGTAGTAGTAGTAGTAGTAGTAAAAAGAGGAGTAGTAGTAGTAGTAGTAGTAAAAGAGGAGTAGTAGTAGTAGTAGTAGTAAAAAGAGGAGTAGGAGTAGGAGTAGTAGTAAAAGAGGAGTAGGAGTAGTAGTAAAGTAGGAGTAGGAGTAGTAGTAGTAAAAGAGAGTAGGAGTAGTAGTAGTAGTAGTAGTAGTAGTAAAAAGTGGAGTAGTAGTAAAGTAGTAGTAGTAGTAGTAGTAGTAGTAGTAAAAGAGTAGTAGTAGTAGTAGTAAAAAAGAGTAGGAGTAGTAGTAGTAAAAAGAGTAGGAGTAGTAGTAGTAAAAGAGTAATAGTTGAAGAAGTAGTCATAGCAGTGGTCACAGTAGTAGTATAAGTACTCCAAATATTTATTTATATGTATATTCTTGTGATATCATATTTTTCTGAAATTAAAATTAAATTGAGTAGGTTTGTGGTAGTGGTAGTAGTAGTGGCAGTAGTGGTTGTGGTAGTAGTAGTGGCAGTAGTGGTTGTGGTAGTAGTAGTAGAGTAGTAACACAGCAGCAGTAGCCACTTCAAATAATATTTTTTGTCATATTCAAAATGAAAAGAACAAAAAGAAATTCTCTAATCACTCACAAACACACCACATTTGAACATGAATAAGGTGGGATGGTGCTGGAAGTATCTTGCTCAGGGACACAATGGCAGCTAGAATTAAATATAATATAAGGCCACTCTGTAATGTATGTACTATAATAAAAAAATTCAAAATAAAAAAACACACACACACAAAGAAGAAAAACTCTGTGCAACATTATTAATCGCTATGGCAACGTCCCCTCACCTGTCACAGTGGTTGCATTTGAAAGGCTTGGCCCCGGTGTGCTTGCGGTAATGCCTGGTCAGCTCGTCACTGCGGGCAAACCTCCACTCACAGCCCTCCCACGAGCACTTGTACGGCTTCTCACCTGCAGGGGGCGATACACACACAACACACATTTAGTTAAAGATACCAACACAACACAAGGTTATGGTTAAAGAGACCATTCACGAAAACACAACCAAAAGTGCCACTGAATAAGGTAATAACAAAAATGTAGTTGTGCCAAGTCGACTAGTATTCAATATTGATGTCACAATAACCGAAATATCATATCGTCAAATTTCTCAAAATAATATCGAGAGCTGCCACAATATATCAAATAACAAGTTCCTTTGCTTAAATGCATTCTTTTATAGTTACAATATAGTTGCATGAACTTAGGGAACTGCACATCATAATTCATTTAAGCCCAGACAATGTTAAGAAATGTTTGTTTTTTTTACTTTGTTTATTTGTTGGGATTATGACATTATTGATTTGCACTAATGACTTGTCAAGGTATTTTAAAGCAAAAAGTATCAGATCTACAATTCTATTAACCTCTTCAAAATATCGCAATAAATATCGTACCGTGAGATGCATATCATGATTATATTGTATCGTGAGGTTTGCATATCGTTACATTCCTAATGTTTTTTTGTGTTTTTTTGTATTTATTATTATTTATGATGTACTATGTATTAAATATTATTACTATTATTATTATTATTATTATTTATTTATATTTATTTATTTATTATTATTTTTTTTTTATTTTTTTTTTTGGTGAAATAAAAACAAAAAAATTGAAATCTCAGGGCTAATATTGATGAAGTAAAAGCTTCTGAAAACTTTATAAACCGCTAAATTAGTAAAGCATTTCACAGAATCTTGACTTTTCAGCAGCCTCTGCGATTTATTTAAATTATATTTTAAATTTTTGTCAAAAAATGTGTCAAATGTCTAAACTTGCCAAATGTAGTTTTAAGTGTCCTGTATTACGCAAAATTGACTTTTGTGACCTTGGAGCCATGTTAGAATATTGTTACCTCATCAAAAACATACCTGGAGACATGTTTCATTCAGTCTGTCAACATCTCCAAAGCTCAAAACGCTCTGTTCCACCTTGTGATGTCATGAAGTTGTCATTTTCAAGTTATAGCTACTTTTTACCTTTAGTTCAGCGGAGATTGGAAATTCTAGGTCTGAAATTCTCCAAATGATTCAAGTGAAGCTGTATGGAGTTTTTTTATATATATATATTTCTTTTTAAGTATTTTTGATTTTTTAAATGTATGTTTATTAAGGACATCACAATTGCATTAGACAAGCCAGATGCATTTGAGTGTTTTGGCACAAGTGTTAGATTTCAACACCTGTCCATATCAAAATATAAACTACACGCATAAAAACAGGCAATACAGATAAGCTACATACAGATAAAATATATACAGTATCATTTTTAATGGATGCATTTTTGATTGCATTTGTTGTTACTGGTTTCCAATTTTAAATTAGCTGGTAAAGTGTTCAACAGTCTGGCCCCCTTAAAAGAGAACGAGGACTGACCAAGAGCTGTGCTGTACATAGGAACGACGCAGTTACCACGAGTAGCACGTCTTGTGTTCGCTCTGTGTGAACATTTTATGGTCCTGGCAAGTTCTGAATACAGTGGTGTATCGCAGTTAAGACACTTAAAAAAAGAATTTAAGATTATTAAAATTGGTAAAAGTGTTTGGGCTTTTTATCAAGGACCTTAAGGGTCAGTTTGTAAAATGAACAGAGCAGTTTCAGTGTGGTTGAAGAGGCCCGGGACCATGAGGTGATACAATAAGATAGACAAGAGAAGATTATTGTGTTCATGAATAGTTTAGAAGACGAGGAAACAACATTATAAAATGGATCCAAAAATAAGGTAATATGGGCTCTTCAGTAATGTGTGAAATTGCGTACACAAACTTGGTTCCGTTTGAATTCGCAGTGGTCTTAGATAAACAAAACCAGGCGATAAAACAATAGCAAATACGTATTAATCTCCGAGACGCCTTGCCCCAGTATAGGTCCATGTGTTAAACAGCAGTGTAGCGCGGTTCTGACGGGGCGAGGGGGAGCAGGAGGGGGGGTAATTAGGCCAGGGAGGGGGGCCGATGTCGGACCCCCGCGGAGAACCAGCTGTGTCCGGCCTCAGAACATGTCCGTCTCGTACCATCTGGGGCCCGGGCCGATACTGAGGGGAACGGGGCCGGCTTCAGTGCGTGCTCTTATCAAAGCTACGCAATCAATAGCCTATGAAGTTTAATCCATGGCATCTGGTTTAGAAAGGGACTGTGTTTAATTGGAGACTGGCGCAGAAACGGTCTTTTTATTTATTTTTGGGTCGCTTTGAGTCGTCTAAATAGAAGCTCTGAGCTGCCAAAGCTCAACCGCAAGGATTAAAGAGCCCGTATATTTCTGATCTACGTTATAATGTTGTTTTCTCGTCACAAACAGACCTGACGTTGTGTTTTGTTTTATTTTATTCGCGCATGTTTAACGCACAAACCATGCATATTTAGGCTCAGGTTTTCTCAACACTGTTTTCAGGTGATACAGGAAGTGCTCCACTGTGTCACACCTTCAGTAGAATCATTTGTAGACAGACTAATAATACAGGATTACTCAAACGTGTGTGTGCAGAGGCGGTGCTACCATTAGGCAAAAGTAGGCCGCTGCGGAGGGGCCCCCAAACCTGGAGGGGCCCCCAATCAACTGCCCTTAGTACTAGGCAAGGCAAGTTTTGTATTTGTAATAGCACAATTTGTACACAAAGTAATTCATAGTGCTTTACAGAATAAGAAATACATTAAAATCACAATAAAAACTAATCAAAACATAAATTATCATCATAATATTTAAAAGAGAGAGACATTAATTATTATTATTATTATTATTGTTGTTGTTGTTATGATTATGATTATTATTATTATTATTATTATTATTATTATTATTATTATTATTTATGCATTGATTTGGGGTAAGTAAAGATTTACATGCATATACAGTGGAACATAGAACATAAATGAAATCATAATAAAAATAAAAATAACTTATTATTATTATTATTATTATTTTGCCCAAAAAGGAGTGGGAAGAAGAAAATTTATTTAATCCCACCCCTACTCTTTATAATCTAACACAATGAGCTATCTTTTGCGGTTTTCAGACATTTTGAAATAAACTATATTAATTATTTAAGTTTATTAATTACATAAGTTAGAGAGAAGACGACTACTACTAATAATAATAATGGCCGAGGCTATTTGATTTTCTCTCAATATGACATTAAATGAGAGTAGTTTACTTTCAATAATCATGAGAAAAAAAAAAATAATCATATGTAATGGATGTAAACAAAAATGTCCAAATCTTGGAGGCGACCGAGCTAATAAGACAAGTTTCCAATCCAGCATAATTCAAATAAATAGAGATGTGCATATCTCAAGAACAATGGGCAAAAACAGACAATAAATATATAAAAAAACAAAACAGAAAACCGTTCATTATAGTGAGGGCCCCAAACCCCAAACTCAAGTTCACCTAGGGCCCCCAAATTGGCTAACTCCGCCACTGCATGTGTGAATGGAAAAAAAAAAAACACTACTCCAGGTATTTTTGCCCTGATGAAGACCATCCTGCTGGTTGAAACCTGTTGGCGTCCCTTCATGCAATAAAGAACTTTTAATATATTCAGTTGGAGTGCCTCGGGTTTGTATCTTGCCCACTGTTATATTTTCTAGTGGGCAAGATACAAACTTTCTGTTTAAAGACTACAGTTTTAACCCTCGTGGGGAGCACCTCTACTGCTATTTTTTCACTCTTTTATGACCCAGTGAAGCGCTCTACCTCTTTTCTTCATCTTGACAACTCCAGGTTTGTTTTTGACAACGTAGCAACATTATAACATGGATTAAAGCTCAATTTTGGGTAATACAGGACCTGTAATGATGCTGCAGGTGCTGGGGTTTAGTAATGACCATTCAGATCAGAGAGAGACATTTTAGGTTTAAACACACTGGATTTTAACTTTGGAATTGGCGACAAAAATGAGAGACTTATGTGTGAGGCTCATTCTGCTTTCTGATTGGATAATTGTCTTAACCAAAATACCAAATTATAACATGAATAACTTGACTATCACATCCAATAGGAGTGAAACGATATCATCACGGTATGAACCTCACTGTATGACATTTACTACGATATCGTGGGAAAGCTCACGATTAGGAATGTGACAATATCCAAATTTCTCAGAACGGTATTTTCACGATATACATCTCACAGTACGATATTTATTGCAATATTTTGTGGAGGCAAAACAAAACTGTGAATATGTTACTTTTTTCTCTTAAAATGCATTGGCAAGACTTAATCCAAAGAACTAAGGCCCCGTCCACACTAGTATGTATTCGATTTGTTTTCGTTGTGGATGCAGTGTTCGTCCACACTAATCCGACTGGAACGACCTGGTGCTGTCAGCTCCACGAATTAATTAGAGTTACAGATCTGATCCGGCACTGTGTGGACGCCTGAAAACACTGATACACTGACGTAGGTCTGTGCACCGCGAAGTAATTCACCGCCAAAACACTAAGAGGCTAGAATATATGTCCATTCATATATACAGTCTGTGTGTACGACCTGCAGACGTATAATCTCTGAAAAGTTTAACATGAACCATCTTCAACGCGACAGAAGCACAGAACAGACTCACCATCAGCAGAACACCCCTCCGTCACAGAAAGAACACTCATATTCCACTGAGTCGTGTCCTTTAGTCCGACAGAAACTGAACCACATCAGCGCACAATGGCGAACTGTTTTTTTTGAGCACTTAGTTTATGCAAATGACTCATGTGGTTTTAAGTTTTGTTCGTTTCAGTGTAAACGTAGCCTAAGACTTAAAAGTACTTAGAACTTCATGTGCTCTTCACTGAAATGGAGCAAAGGATCATGGTCTATGTAGTTCCCCCTGTCTTTTTTTAGCTATTGCTGCACCATAACTCTTCATTTAAGCAAAGAGACTTGTAATTCGATATATTGTGACGATCCACGATATTATTATAAGAA